AAACTATCAATGCTGATTAAATCCATGCGCTTATGTTTCACTTAAAAGTCCCCTTTTTTCCCCTCCAGTTTTCAACGTCTCTCTGGTCCAGGATTTGTCCTATTCCAACTGTACGTTATCCAGCTTTTCAATGCAGAGAAATCCCTTTCCATACATATTGAAAGACTTTGGAACAGACAGCAACAGGTATGTGCAATGTTGTGAGTGCGCACTAGCGGAGAAATGCTTAACCCTTTCATGTAGCAATAATAACCTGTAACCTGATGAAATGATAAGCTGTCCACTGTAGTAACCGCTGTCCTTGAAAGGGTTACATTAATCTAAATGGTTCATTAAAAAAAAAAAAATTAAAAATAAATAAATAAAAACATTATTGTAACAAGTTAGATTTTTTTAATTAAAATAAAAAACACGAGCTACCCTGTCTACTCTTTGCACATTAGTAAAAAGTAACCATGAACGTTTGAGACCCCACAAAATGTACAAAAGACCACAGTGATATTACGAACAGCAAACTTCCCTTGACTAACAACTTTGGTGATGATGGAGATGAAAAGATCTATGTTTTATCATTTCATCCCTAGAATGCAAGAGATGCTGACAAGTCTTAAATTGCTCCAACAAGCTGATATGCAAGATCACGGTGGTGGGCAGTGACTTTTGGACCTGGGCGTTCAGTGGTGATTTATGGCCTTCTCCAACTACACAACTTTTTTTTGTCTTTCACGAAGGTTGCGCTCTAAGACTCCAACATAAATAGCGTTCTGTGTTTTGGACCGGGCGAGACGTCAGACTAAAAATCCGTCACCGACCAGACCACGCCTAATCGTTGCGTGCGTCTGTCAAAATTCAGTCCATCAGCGCAGGAGGCGGGACAAGCAGCTGATAAAATCATGTAGACGAAGACATTATGTGCATGTGTATTTGTTCGCTGCTCACAAAAGGGAAAAAAAAAAAAAAAAAAAAAAAAAAAAGAACATGGACCAATATGAACTATCTATTCTCCCCCCAAAATTGAGGTAAAGAATTTGTTTAATGACACCACATGTGATAATCAGCTACTAGTTTTTCAGTTAGCAAACAGAATGAGTTGAACTGCTACATAGAACTGTTTGTTTTTTTGTGCGCGCCACGTCCAGTCTCATAAGTAGGAAGGTACTGTCTTCCTACTGGTCAATGCCACGTTCTGAAGAGGTTGGGCAGATTTACATGGAAACACATAGATGCTGATATTTGATTGGACAAAATAAATAAACAACCCATAATCGACCTAAAGCTGTGCAGCCACGTCGATGCCTCAGGTAGTGTTTGGGCCAGCAGAAAAGGCCTTGAAATCCCTGATTGCAGGACACTGCGAGATACAGTTGTAATGCGTATTGGGAACTGAGGGTCGCTGCTTGGAATTGAAGCGGATTTACATTGGACAGGAAAAGTGAACCACTCTCTTTTTTCATCAATGGACGCGACAGCTTCTTGTTTACTTTCAATCTTAGCTTGTAGCAGACGTGTGCACATTTTGAGCATGATGTCTCTGATACACTGGTGAAAGGACACTTGGATTCTCGCCTCTTTCATCTAGAACTGCTTCAATCAACAAATCGTATACAGGATAACTGGCATGACTGTCCGCGTTTTATGTTATGTGTTGTGTTATTTTGTTATTTTAGATGAACTGTTTTGTAAAGCGCTTTGTTACAGCTGAAGCTGTTGTGAAAGCGCGATATAAATAAAGATGTATTGTATTGTATTATATATTGTAACTTCAACACAACTGCCGCAGCAACTTGGGACTATGGATGTTTGTGTGCTTTTGGAGGGTCATGGTGAATGAACAATCAGAAGGATTCGGAAGGCAGATGGACTGCCCTGAGGGCCAAAAGACAGAATGTGAGACACTGACAAAAAATTACAGATATGAGGGGGGCAGTAAATCACAAACACTTCCAGCCCTGCCAATTCTCTTTCCACTCTCCTCCTCTATTTGCTTGTATGTCAGCCTCTCGGTGACGATCCCCTGATGTCACAATGCAGTGATAAATCAGAAACATACAGCACAAGTGCACTCAATAGGGAGAACAACAACACCAAGGACAGTGTGAATGTGTGACCTCACTGCTTCTCAATAGCTGCGTCCCATTTCAGGGGATGCATCCTTCAAGGGGCTGCATTTGAAGGCTGATGACATAAAGGTACGCGGAGGCTTTACCAATTCAAAGGCTCCTTCAAACGCGGCCTTCATTTCAGGCTACGATGCAACTCACCTGCCTCCCATATCTTGTATTTTATGTATACCTGCTTCAAATGTATATTTTCTGCTTTAAATTACCTTCCTGTTTGTGTTAGTAATGATGTAGAAAACTGACGAAGCACAGTAATCTCTTAAGAATTAACTTTGTCAAAGCTTTAGTTGTTTAGTTATTTAGTTATTATGACCTTTCATCTAAAAGAGACCATAATGTGTCATTATTTTATTAATGATCTTTTTAGGAATTGAGAACCTATTACATTGAATCAAAACTCACTCATTTAGCAGTGAGGTTTCTAGAAGGATATTTTGAATGTAGTCTGTGGTAACATGAAGACGGCTCCTGGAGCGTGACCCGACATTCCCCGTGACCTGGGGAGGAAGGGTCAGGGATGTTGTACCAGAACAAAGCGTCGAGAGAGAACGATATCAACGCGTCCACCCGCCTGTTGGGACCGTTAGCGATATCGCCAATAAGATGGGCGTGCTAGCGGCGCGAACCCAGTAAGGGAGCGACTTCCAGGAGTCAAGATTGCCGCTGTGCACGGGGTTGTGGTTTAAAATGTTAAAACTGGGAAGCAAATACAATGACTACATTTTCTGTGACCTGCCTTTTTTTCCCCCCTTTTTTAAATTCTTGTACCCAATATTGCTGCTGATCTAATGTATGAAAGCATATCTAGTGCACGTACTGTATGTCAGACATTTATTTGAATGTCTGTTGTCTGACTCATTCAAGAACTCCTCTTGATTCTTTTATTCAATAAATTGTAAAAAGATTCAGTCACCGAAGCATCTGTCAATTTTAGTCAATGAATATCTATGGAAGAGGAACACACTATTGAATAAGATAATGCGACTATGGAGATTAGATCAAAGAAAAACCAGACAGCGCAACATATGGAAAGGAACCAGAGAATGGACAAGGGGAAAGCAGAGAAGACAAAAGAACAGGGATCAATTTAACTCCTTACCACATGCCAATCAAGATGGTAATGACGTCAGAGTACAACTGATCTGTAAGCTTTTGAAAATCAATTATCTTCTGAATTGCTTCAAGGAATCTCGTGTTGAAGTCAAAATGGCTTTGACCACCAAAGCTCATCTTTTGAGTCCGGGTGGACATTAGTGCCCACTTCCAAGAAGCTCCCTTCAAGCCCAGAGGAAATGGTAAATGATAAATGGGCTGTCACTCATATAGCGCTTTACACTGTGACCACATTCACCTACTGATGATGCATCAGGAGCAACTGGGGGTTCAGTATGTTGCTCAAGGACACTTCGACATGGCCGAGGATTGAGTCACCAACCTCTGGGTTGGGAAACAACTACTCTAACACTGAGCCGTGCCGCCCATTGGTACAAAACGTGCACGCGTGCAGAAAGACGTGAGCGCGCGACACACACAGAAGCGTCGAGGCAGAGTGGGGAAAAGGCAAGAAACAAGTGACAGATGTAGAGCCATTGAGGAAGAAAGACGTGTGTCCAGTCGAGAGACTGAGAGTCAATAATGACTGATTACTGTAATTCAAGCTGTCAGAGGCATCGACCTGCGGCTGCCACCAATCGATACTCACCAGGACACCGGCAGACACGCAAACATCTCTCAACCAGGTGACATCACTCGCACTCATACACATCGTATGGACGGATGTGCATGCGGGCCTTACACAAATATGTCACACCTGCACAATCACAAGTAGCAGTAAAGCAAACTGCGACAAAGACGTACAGAAGCGAAAGAAGCTACATGCACGCTCGCTCACGCACACGTACACTCACACACACACAAACCATCGATGGAGGTGTCAGCTACCAGGTAAAACCTGCAACTGAGTCTCACTATCTTTCGATTTTGTCTCAGTTTTTGGACGCGAAGCAAAATGGATTCTTCAGAACTTCCCTCACCACCTCTACACTTGTTCCACATCCGTGGATGACACCTTCACCTTCATGTTTTTTTAGTTGACTGAAAAGCATGAATGCTATTCGAGAGCACTTGCACATCTTAACACGATCACTGGGCTGAAAGCTCTCTTTCATTCTCAAAATTAGACACTGGTTTGATTACATACACTCATGAAATAAAATATCTTACACGAAAATCCTCCTCCAGTATGCTTAGAATTACAAGATTTTACAGATTTACTAAATGCTGAAACACAATCAAACTGCAGATTATTTCAAATGGATTCTGAAGTATCAAGCAGACTGCTTTCGTTGCCGTCGGTAGATTGTGCTACAAAGATTTTTAATGTATGATGCCATTTTCTAAATTACTAAGACAAACTTGGACAAAAAAAGTAGACCTTGCAGCTGACATTTTTTTTTTTTTTGGACGAGACAGTATGACTTGGGAGCAGAAGTGTGGGCACAAGAGCGGACTGCCTTATTTTTGAAAGTGTGAGGCATAAAGTAGTCGATGACAATTGATGAAACTGCCATCACTTGCGATCATACAGACAGGCTGAATGCACACCTGTCTTTCAGTCTCTTGCCCAATTTTCTACATTTACACACAATGCATTCAGCTAAAGGGACAAGCAACATTACTTCTTGGTCAAGTTACTTAACTCTTTGCACCTTTGTGTGAAACCCCCCTCCCACCACCACCACCACCACCACCTTTAACCCTTCCTTTCCTTTGCCCGTGACCATGACGACGTATGACATGAAAAGTGGGAAGATCAAGGTTGAGTGACTTACATTTCAACATTCAGTTCTTCCAATTCCGGGTAGGTTTTTAAAAGGATACAAGTTCTGGTACAGAGGAATGAGTGATTTCAGCGCTCGACTCGCGTTGATAGCTGTGGCTCTCACCATTGTTGGCAAAATCTTCATGTCCACAATGGCGCCGTCGAAGAGGGGACCAAAAAACGGGACCTGCAGGGACAGACTGTGTTGTGACACATGCAATAGATAGTACCATTCTATTTCATTTGCATAACATTGATAATTTATTAAAGGGTGAATTGATGTTTGTCAGTGAAAGAATCCTCTCTGACAGTCCTAAAAAATGATGCTGATCAAATTTTGAGGAAGTTGTTTTCATGATATGCAATTCAATTGAGGCTATGCTTCTTTTTGAGATTCAATTCCATGTTTTGCTTAAGGAATCCACCCAAGAGAAGATATATATTTTCTTAATTTAATCAACTTTAAGACCAGGTCTCCAGCCCGTTTGCCCCATGACGGAATACAGTGCTTTCAGGACAACAACACAGAAAATATCTCCTCTAACTTGCTTTCAGATTCATGATAATTCAATATTTTGCTTGAAGGATGAATGAAACAGAAGATGGTGATGTTATTAGTGCTGTGGTATCTACAGTATGTCATACAGAAAAAAAAGACTCTTATTATGTTAAGTCTCGTTTAAAACAGAGTTACGCTATCAGTGCTGTGGTATTAATGTCTATGCTTTTGTTTGAAACAAAAAGCAGAGCAGCATCTCCCCGGATTGTCAGACAATCTGTCTGTCTGATATGACCATGCCCCTTCACAACAAGAGACGTGAACTGCAACAAAATTGCCTTTAAGTCCTGATGTGAGTGTCAATTAAAATAATGCAATAATTCCATTCAACATCACCAAGTACCAAATTCTAATTCTATATTGAAAAAGTAACGTGCCAGGCATTTAAGAAGCAACTGATGTGGTCTTCATATAATGGATATTCATTGAGCCATTTGCAAATTTGGTTTCACGTTGTGCCAATTCAACACCTGAATGCTTCTTCAAAGATGTTTTCTCGAAGATGCAGGTTTGAGCATGATGGAGTTTCAAGTGATTACTCTGTGTATGTTACTATCATAAAATAAATACATCAACCAGTTTTTGTATTTTTCCACAAGGGACTCAAGGGGAACGAAAACCATACTTCACATGTGTGTCGATTATTGTCTTTTGATTGTGATTGTGGAAAAATAACCTAAAATGTGAAGATGAACAATTTCCACTTAACAAAACAAAACAAAAACAAAAAAAGAAAATGTTTTAATTCAGGGGTGTCAAACTCGTTTTTGTCAAGGGCCACTTGGAGTTGTGAGGGGAACGAAAACCATACTTCACATGTGTGTCTATTATTGTCTTTTGATTGTGGAAAAATAACCTAAAATGTGAAGATGAAAAATTTCCACTTAACAAAACAACAAAAACAAAAAAAGAAAATGTTTGAATTCAGGGGTATCAAACTCGTTTTTGTCAAGGGCCACTTGGAGTTGTGTCTCCCCTCAGAGGGCCGTTACGAGAGTGAAACCACAAAAATGTTTCATCGTCTCATTGCATTATGACTTGCAAACAACAAATTAATGGATTACTAGTCAAGTCAACTATATTAATTTATTCGATTATTGTTCCAGTTTGTGTCAAGAGGGGAACAAAATCTCAGCGTTATTTATTACACATGACAATTTGATATTTCGGTAGAGATTTTAGCAAGGATCATGCAAGTTGACACACGTGATTTTCTTTCGTGGGCCACATAAAATGATGCGGCGGGCCAGATCTGGCCCCCAGGCCTTGAGTTTGACACCTGTGCTTTAATTGGTTATTTCACTTAATTTACACATAAATCACGAGATTGCCAATACCTCAGGTTTTTTGAGGATATGGATGGAATACATGTGGTTTTTCATGGGGTAGATGACGATGAGCACGTCACCAAATTCTGTCGGGATGATTCCTCGCCGATAGTCTCTGGAATGTTCCGACCAAATGATGTGGACCTCGTCATTTCCCAGGTGTCTTAGCTGGAAAGGGGAGAGGAAGAATAAGGATAATGTCAAGACAGGAAGATTCAACAGAAAGGTGAATACTGCTCTGCGATTTGAACAAACCACAACACATTTACTTTGTGTTCCTATTCAATGCCAAGCAGATATGAAAGTCACACGGCGAGCTAGGTTGGCTGTATCCATCATTCATCCAGGGTTTTGGAATCTTTCTTTACATATCTCTGGGCGCACAATGTTTGGCCCTGAGTATGATTGAGTGAATGTGTGTAGATGGAAAGTGGACAAGAAGATGGAAAGTTCTGGAAAGATGGAGTATGGACAGGGAAACTGATAGGACCAAGTCTGCAGAATGGCTGGTTGTGTGTGTGTGTGTGTGTGTGTGTGTGTGTGTGTGTGTGTGTGTGTGTGTGTGTGTGTGTGTGTGTGTGTCTGAGTGCATTCACAAAACTCAGGGCCGTCACTAACCTCAATGTCAGATCAAGCACCCACCCTATCCGACAACAAAAATGCTTCTCTACCCTTTCTACGGCATCTCATTGTTGAGGGGGCTGCTGTTGTCATCTCGAGACAACCACAAGTGTGTTCTGACTATTTACTGTGAATTTAACTGCGATCCTCCCACAACTCAGAGGATTTTTGCGATGCTTGTACAAAAATAAAGTGACAAAGGGTAAACATATACAAGTATGTATTAGGCAGGGGATAAACGATACTTGGTATCCCCCCTGTCATACAGGATAAGGTTGAATTGCGGCCAAAGAGTTCCATCTTTCGTCCCTTTAACACCTACCTGCAAAGGTCGACATTTCTTGCACCTGTGTTGCAGTTCATTGTCATGTATAAACAACAGGTATTTGGGGGAGCACGGTAATAATATGCCTTTGGTGGTATCAATACTTTTAGGCAATGCCATAATGAGAGGGTTGTGATGAACTTGAACATGACATGTGCCAATGTTTAGATAGTAAATAAATAAATCAACAAACAAAAAGTCACAAGTGAATGCTCAATGAAAACGAACAAAGGCGGGTCTTTCAATATTTAGGTCAGTGGTCCTTAACCTTGTTAGAGGTACCGAACCCAACAAGTTCATATGCACATTCACCGAACGCTTCATTAGTGAAAAACAAAAATATGACTTTTTACAAATTAAAGACATAAAAAAATTTATTTAAAACTGAAAAAAAGTTAATAACATTTCAAGACATAAGTATCAGTTTTTCCAGTTTTACGACGTACTATCACAACAGTCACACGTTGACGACTGAGTGAACTAAATTTCCTGCAGCACTGTTTGGACAAGCAATGTAATGTGATCATCTGCAGCCAGTGATGGCCTAGCGGGCGTGTCATAACTATTTGACATGTTGAGTCGGGTGTGTCTTAACCTCCATGGCAGAGGCTCCGTCGAACCCCTGAGACCGATTCACCGAACCCTTGGGGTTCGATCGAACCCAGGTGAAGAACCACCGATTTAGGTATATGCTGTACTTTTGAAACATCCATACATCCATCCATCCATTGTCCAAACCGCTTATCCTCACAAGGGTCGCAGGCGTGCTGGAGCCTATCCCAGCTTTCTTTGGGCTGTAGGCGGAGTACATCCTGAACTGGTTGCCAGCCAGCCATTTTTTTGTGCTTGTCCACATTAGGGTCACAGTTGAGCTTGAGCCTCTCAAAACTGACTCTGTGTGTGCGTGCGTGCGTGCGTGTTCATGTGCAAGTCTATGAGTATGTGTGTTTGACAGAGCCATCAGCTGATCAGAGAAATGGATGGTGCTGCACCAGGCAGCGATAATCCAATCAGAAGCCTGCAGCGACACGATAGGCCGACAAGCAGGAAGTTTGATCAGATTAAAGGGACATTATGGCCATGTGCAAGGCGCCCACCGCCTGGGGGTTGACAGGTGTGCACACAAACACATACACCATCTCAAACACACTAAACCTCCCTGTTGCGACGCTAATTCAACACCATACACAAATACAGATTTAATTGAAATGGATTATTGGAGAGTTTGAGATACAATGAAACAAACATGCTTATGTGCATGTTTGCATGTGACCCACTCGCATTTGGAAAGTAGATGCGTTATACTGGGACAGATCTTTGAACAAGTGAATTAAAAAAGAGAGGGTTTTTAAAAAAATAAAATAACCCCCACATTTAGGTCACACAGCCCTTTGGATAGTAAACATTAACTTAGTAAGGAGTAACTTAGTTTGTCATTGTCATGGTGGCAGCTGATCTCAGTCATCCATAGCATATTCTCTCAAAAGCCTTGAGAATTATTCAAATATTGTTTTGGGGTTTTTGTTATTTAGGTCAGCCGTGGTTTGACCTTGGAATCATGGGGTGTATATATTATATCAAAAGTATCTCCCGCTATCTTGATAGAGAGATGAATAGATCGATATAGATAGATGGATAGCTAGCTCGCTAGCTAGCTAGCTCATTCACCTGCCGTTTGAATAAAAGCACCTGTGGCTAAAGCCACACTATGGCAAAATTTTTACTTTCTGGACCAAGATTTTACACCTCTGCTCCTGGGAAGGCTCACCACAATTCCATGTTTTCTCCATTTGTGGATAATGGTTCACCCCATGGTTAACTTTAGTCCTAAAGCTTTCGGAATGTTTTTGTAACTTTTTCCAGACTGAAAGATGACAATTAATTTCTTTCTCCTCTGTTCATGAATGTCTTGGAATCGGGGCATTTTCCTGCAACTTTTTGAGATCTTTTGGCCGATTTGATTTTGCCAGACAGTTTCTATTTCGGTGATTTCTTGATTTCTTGAGTGAACAGTTTTGGAGGTAATTTGATTCACTTTCATCCATGTCCTGAATGAAATGTTTGTGATGAGTGTTGCTTACCTTCTTTGTAAGATTGTGATCCTGGTCATGGGGCATTCGGGTTGAGACATGATAGATGACCTCTGTTGTAGAGGTGGCATAATAAGGTGTTGTCTGGCCTGTACTGCGGTTCCTCTGGAGTCCTCCCATGAAACCACAGTGAGTGGTGAGGTCCACCTAAGGAAGAAACATTTGAGCAAGGCACCTACATTGCACAGTCAACTGTAAAATTTGACTGTTAGGTTCAACTAAAGACAGTTTTACTCTGCATGTTCGAATGACTGACCATTTTTGTGCTCAAGTGTCACAATGGTGACATTTGACATGGCAGCATAAAGAAAGAAATACCGGTACATGAAATTGGATCGTCAGTTCGGAATAGGCTTTTGCTCGTGAGTGCAGTGCAAATGCACTGTTAGGATATAATTAAACGTGGTCAAAATATGGCACATTAGCCGTGTGCCGATGATGAAATAGGGAATATGTTGTTTCATGTGCTTAGTTAATACACAGTTAACTGAAGCGACGGTGGCCCGCCTTGAATCGTGAAAATCTGTGAGTAATTGACAGCCCAGCCCTCCTTCCCGAATCAGGGTTTGTATGAGCTATCCTTCAGGGGAAGGACGGAGACATTGTTAAGTTTCTGTACCACAGTCATTTGTTCACAATCTTAATTGAGCCTTTCACGCAACTATTTAGAAATTATTAAAAGGAAAAAAGACTGGTGACAAAAAAACACACCAATAGACATTTTGCGGATGATGCCAACTATTTCTGGAGGACTCAGTCTCACATCTGCCAACATTGATTGACCACCGAAATGTATGGCGTCTATTTGGATGTAAACACAATTTTTTAAATGATCATCCAATGAAAGCCATACAATTTAAAGAAAAAATTAAATGGCATATACAAAACAATACGTCGCCTTGGGATCAACTAGATAAATCGAAAAAATGATATGCCAATGACATCAAAGTTTACAAAGTTATTGGGAGTTTTAATTTTGACACTGGAACAACAGAATTTAAAGTTTTGTGTGGGTTAATCAAAAGCCAACTGCTGATTATGAAACACGACAGGGGAGAAAGGAGTTTAGGCATTCCCAAATCTTTAGAATTGCTTCCATGCTGCACAAATACATTGGTGTGATTTTATCTCAAAATGTAAAAATTTAGAGCAGGCTGTTCTTAGAAGGCAATTTCAAAGCCTTACTTCAAATGGTAGGATGGAGGTAGAAAAGAATGAATACAGTAACAGTGTCAGCCAACATCCAAAGGGAATGTGGTTGAAAAATCTGCCAACGGCGATGGGTAGCCGATGAAAAGCACTTCATCCCTAACATTCTTTCAGTCGATCCCAAAAAGGAAAATTGCAATATGTACAATAATTTTAAAAATAAATTTCTCATGGTTTTCCAAACACGGCAGCAAAACTACAATTCAAGTAAGCGTGACCATATTAGGTTCTTACAATTGAGAACCAATTCAAGACACTACTATTCGAGGGAAGGGAAATTAAAAAAAAAAAAATCTTTTAAAAAGGTACAATACAATGGGTTTCTACAGATCAAGGTCAACTAAAATATCCGTACTATACTATGATTAAATGAAAGGAAAATGGAACACTGTATATCTTAAACATAGGTAAACATCCCAGCGACTGAATTGTCGTGTGTTACAACACAATTCGCCACATTATCATCATTATCAAATTATTGTGAAGGTTTTGGGCTACAAATGAAGGTTTTGGGCTAAGTTTGGCAAAAAAGATACCTAGGATATTTATCACGAAAATCTGTACTTGCTTAAAATCATAAACACAATATGTGACATGGAAATGATCATGCACAGACTGAGAACTGAGGATGATTTATGGCAAGAAAAATGGATGAAATGGACACTGATGGTCAGCGAGATAAACTTCAACCACACCGCAGCATTTACTAACTTGATTTGGTAATGTGACAGTTCTATTCTTTGATTGTATTTTTTTGGGGTTATTTGCTTTTGTATGTTATGTTATTGAAAAAGGAAAAAAAAAAGTTTGGCAAAAAAGATGACAGAAAAGCATTAGGTCAAAATGGTTCAATGATTTTCTGCACCAACTGTACAACTGTCATAGTATTGTATTCTACCACTGATCACTTTAGCTTTGCTTGATACTTTGCACATTGTCTCACAGATGTCATTGGGTGGTACCACCGCACTACGGTTCACTTACATTACGAAATGTCCTTCCATACTTATTTGTCATGTCCTTGTTTATGATGATACTAATGCAGCGTGTTATACCGGAGACAAATTCCTTGTGTGTTCTACATACTTGGCCAATAAAGATGATTCTGATTCTGAAATGAAACTCCTCAACTCCGTATAACAAACATATTGCCGTGAGACCAAAATGCTAGCAGATGCACAAAAACAGCAAATATGTTCAGTGAGTCAGCATCAACACAGACATATATCTGATCTACTTCACTTGAAATGTAGTGTAAACCCAGTTTTAGCAAAAGGCAAATTTATTACTGATTTGGTGCTGTTACAATATGTGCAAGTTGGAAGTGCAAGTTTTTTTTGTTTTTTTTTAGTGAAGACTATTAACACTTTTATGCACCAAGAATGACAACCTGTAACCTGATAACATGATAAGCTGTCCATTGTAGTAACTGCTGTCCCTGAAAGGATTAATTATAAATATCTATCCAGAAGGACCACTTTTTCTTACCTCCCAACCCAGTCCAGAAACAAAGTCTTCATATGCCTGGCTTCCCGTGGTGTTGGTGAGTATGGAGTGCTTGTCTTCTTGTCCTTCGGCGACATAAAAAACTGCTATTTTATGTGTCTCCCGACTAGAGCATAGCAAAAAGAGAACACACATGTTAAATGGGGAAATAAAAAACTTTGAAACTAAAGGTGACTGGACAGGAAACAAGAGGTGCAGATTATCTCACCACTGCCGTGAGTCAAGGTTTTTCAGCTCTCTCAATAGTTTCTCATTCTTCCGCAACAAATGAAAGTTACTCCTGAGGAAAAGGAAACAAGTAACAAAAAAAAAAATCATTTGTGCTGGTGGCTGTGTCTCACATGCTTAAAACCAAACGGCGGTGTGCGGTAGACTTCCGCGCATCAATTACAGAAATGCCTAAATCTGTTGGCCAATCAGACAGCGACGTTATGGCCTTCCTCAGCCTGCGCTCTTGAACCAGGTTAGAAGAGGTTCTGAGGAACTGTGCCATTTTGACTGCCTGGCTTTGCAACAAGTGTAATGGAAAAGCAACCGCGCAGGGCGGAACCAGGCTATCTCAGGGTAGAACCGTGGAAAATGGGCTTTAATGATATACAGTACAGTGATCCCTCACTTATCGCGGTTAATGGGGACAGAGACCTCCCGCGAAAGAGGAAAATCCGCTAAGTAGGTACCCTCCCACCCTCCCCCCCATAAAGGTATATGTACATGTGTATGAGTATATATAATATTTATAAGGCCAAATTTAATGGTATACATGCATGTAGAAGTAAATGTTTGTAGTAATTAACATTACTTAATGCTATATACTAATATATATACATGTATAAGATGTATAAGTTAGTTAGGTTATTATATAAATAACAAAATACAGTAAACATAAACATGAAACTATGTATGTTGCTCGTTGTTGTTTTGCTGAGTTTCGCTGCCCCTCGACGTCCTTTTACAGCATTTTCACTTTTATTTATTTATTTTTTTGATGAATACTTTGAAAAATCTGCAATGCACTGAAACCGCGATAAGTGAACCGCAAAGTAGCGAGGGATCACTGTAAAGAGTAAGATAAGTCGAAACTGACAGATATACATGACATTACATGAAGTCACACTCCTGCGAAAGTGAAACACCCTAAAAACTGCAAACCAAATAAGCGAGTACACAAACGTTTTAAAAAAAAAACAAATTCGATTCAATGCTTAAGTAGATTTAAGTCAGGAGTACCTGATAAAGAAGAAAAGTTCATTTAAAATATAAAACAGTTCTGACATCTTAGGCTGAGTTCCCATTTGAAAGTTACACTGCAAAAACATGGTGAAATTTATTGTTGAATCATTAGCTGTTACTTTATTCAATTGCAGTGAGAGATGATTACAGTCACTTTGAAATTGAACCAGCATGTATTGGGTTGAAAAACCTATTTAAGCGACGACACCAGACAACCATGCCACACACAAAATTGTTGGGTGCTATTACATTACACTATCAATAGCAACAAATCCTCTTAGAAGGAGAAGTTCTTAGCCAACTTGTAGCATCTCAACTTCCAGAATCGAAATATAAAAAGACGGCGACTCTATTTTCATTCGAGACAAAAGCCTTTTTATGTAACCTGATAGATCCAGGGATCGTTTAAAATGTCCTGCGAGGACCAGCCACCAATTTCAGCAGCACTGATCTCAAACCAGGACTGAAGTAGATGACGCTTGAAATGGACTCATAATGACCCATCATTCATTTTTCTTCTAGAGAGAGTGAGGAAAAGGAAACACAGGAGATAGCAAGAAAGCAAAGAGGCAGCAATTTGCTCTTTATTAAAATGATATGTGGTAATGGCCCCATTCTCTGCTCTCAAAGACTCCATTTACACTTTGGATTATTGAGAAAAACATAAAAAGAGACACGGCTCTGAAGAGAGAGGGAAGACTGTCAGTATCTCATGATCAGCCTGGAATATCATATATTGAATGCATAGTAAGAGATGAAGGGGAAACATAACAGTCTCTACTTACACAATTGGTTGTTGGAACCAACTGGATGTGCAGTTTTTAAAGCTTCTCACTTATTTTGGCTCAATCTCTTTCTTTTGATACATTTCCATGTGCTTTATGCAGCCTGTTTTCAGGTTTGCTTTTCACCCTCGCTATTCTCATCCTCAAGCACCACCTTTTATTCTAGCTCCAGATGGGTTGATTTTGATCAATGGCCTCCTAGGCTCATTACAACACTCCTGCACACACACCTACGCACACGCGCTTGCACGCACGCACACACTGCGCATTAAGAAGTCTATTGTGCTGGCTGAATGCAGACTGTGTAATTCTCTGGATAAAAAGCAATGAGCATCCATTAGCGGGCCAGACACATTTATACTGATACTTTCACATTGTGTTGTAAAGCCCGGAGTCACTGAGAAGAAAATTTGATAGGTTGTTTGAATGGGGGGAAAAAAAAAATCATGGTGTCTAATTAGCACAGGACTCGGTTTTGAATTTCAATTTTTGGCCTCATGTAAATTAAGCAAGGATAGGTTTGAGGTCAGGAGAAACTAAACCAAGCTTTTTCTTTAAATAGCCCAATACTAGAAAGTAAAAGAGAGAAAACTATGTTCAAAGGCAATGAATGTGAAAAAGTTCGACAGTACATAAATTGTATTTAGCGTTGGGACGATGCAAAAACTGGAAACTGGCAATAACCATTTAGGGCAGCTCTTCGCATCCGCATATGAAGGAAATTCTGCAGTCGAACACCTTTGAGTTTGGACAACTATCAATCGTGCCAACATTTTGGGGAAGAAAATGTCTCTGAAGTCAAAAAAAAACAGAATTTGAAGTCAAACAAAACAGAATTTGAACAGTTGTCATGCGAGGCTAGACCAACTACTTCAGTGCACCTCCCAAGAGCTCACTCACATCAACTCAGTTCAGAGAGAGCCAAAAAGATACACTCTCCATTTAATTTTCTTAATTGTTTACTTGCAGCTAGATGAAGGTCATTTCAACAGAGTCCTGTAAGTGGCTTTCAAGGATCTCACCTTTTCTCCCAGGAATTGAGTCCAAGTATGTTGATTAATAGCCTGCAGTAGTAGAAAGCTGACTGAGGTGTCTGAGTCTCTGGTTCACTCTGTTCCACTGCTCTCATGTTCAACTCCTCACCTCTCTGAAAGAGACAAAATTCCAGTTGAGGAGAAAATGATAATCATGGAGAAGAGCCTGTCTTCATGTTCCAATGAACTCTGCCTAACGACAAGAGGTCATGGGAATGTGGTTCGTGAACACCAAAAATAAAATGGTCTGGGCAATTGTGTGAAATCAAAATGGCTACATCTACTGGTATGGGATACAAATAAATACAAAAAAAATCTATCTTTATTTCTACAGCGCTGTCACAACAGCTGCAGCTGTAACAAATTGCTCTACAGAAGAAAATGTTGCTACTAAAAAGGCCAAACGTTTCCGGGAACATGAAATTTCAGCATAGGGTCGGTAGGTCGGACAAAGTTTTTTTTTTTTTTTTAAATCTTTTTTTTTTCCCCATCAAAAATGTAAACAAAATAACCATAACCATGGTCTATGTTTTTCCCGCGATGGAAAAAAAAAAAATTAAAAAGGCCGCTTCATATTACACGCCCCCGTGGTATTCATCAAATAGTTCACAGAATTTTTTCGATATATCAATGAATGCTATTTACTTAACATTACGGTGCGAGCATGCGACTGTAACACGGAAAACGCGGTTTAAACTGTCGTCGGAGATCGCGGCCGCCGCCATGTTTCAATGTTGTTGACAGACGACAGGGCAAACGACGCACGCGCTCAACGTGAATATCGCGAGAGTTTGCACCGATGTAAACCCTCTAGACAAAAATGAAGAGGGTTTTTTGAAAAAAATGCCGACCGGAAAGTTTTTTTTCGACGTAGAAATTCTCGGTCGGTCGGGTTACCGGAAACACACTACTTTTTTTTTTCTACGCCTAATTACAAATGACACAGCTGTTGAAAGAGTTTGTAATCTAAAAAAAAGAACGTTCAACGTGATCCCCCACCACATCGAGAGGAAGGAGATGAGGTGGCTCGGGCATCTGTTTTTTGCGCCTCCCTGGTGAGGTGTCCTGGGCATGTCCCACAGGGCGGAGGCCCCCCGGGACAACTTCCACTAGAATACGCTTGAGAAACTATGTTTACTGGGTTGGTCCGGGAGCACCTCAGGATTCCCCAGAAGGAGCTGGACGAAGTAGCTAGGGAGAGGGAGTTCTAGGTTTCCCTGCTCTAGCTGCTGCCTCAATGACCCAGCACAAGATAAGCACTAGAAATTGGTGGATGGACATGTGACAGTTTAAAAAAAAAAAAATGTGTGTGTGTGTGTGTATATATATATCTCGCTACCAGATGCACGGAATCCGACCCCGGTCGACAGTGACGAGGGGGCCAGCGACACAGACGAAGCCCGGCCATGCACCCCCGTTCCCGGTAAAAGTGTCGGCGATTTAAGCGGTGAAGACAGCGCTCAGGATCAAGAACAGGATCAAAAAAGCAGTGATGTCAGCCGAGCCCGATTTGCAGGCCCGAGCCCGAAGCAAACCCGACATTTCATATTTTATTTGTGAGTATTTTTGGGAGACAAAAACACAAGATTTCTTACGGTTAAAATAATCTACATATTTTTATGAACATGATCAATGCATTTGCACAACGAAATAACGCTGAAATACAGAATAAGAGGCCAGACAAAGAGAAATCTCGATGCGCATTTGCTTAATTACGCAGAGAAATCCTGCGGCTTACTAGGCTTTAAATAGAATAAT